TGTGAGAACACAAAAAATGATATCAAATAGGACTTGTCATTGGCTTGTAATGTAGGCTTAGGGAAAGGTGTAAGATCCGGCAATTTGAAATAACTACGAAAAGGCTTAAAATTTGATATTTTCATTTTTGGAAAGAATTTTAAAAATCTGGAAATTTTTTTGTCCAAGTATGGGAAAAAGTGAGTTTTTGGCCAACTTTGAGCAGTTATAAATCCTAGCTCAGGATGATTTAGGTGTAGTTCCAGTTATTTTTGCAAAGTTCGTGGAATGGTCTTTCCAACGCCGCCGAGTTTGCTTGATTCCGAGTTCGTATGAGTAAGTTATGCCCTTTGGAAGTTGGGCAGTTGGCAGGGAAGTCCGTCCGGAAATTTGTAAGGGTATTTTGGTCTTTTCCCTAGCCTTTTCTTTTGGATATATATTAGTGTGTTAGACTGATTTTTGATCAGTTTTCTCATTTTAAAAGAGTGAGAGTAAGGGTTTGAGAGTGAAGAGGAGAAGAAGAGGAGAAAGTGAAGATCAAGCAAGGTTTTCGTCGTGGATATCGTCGGGGGTGATCCCTTCTAGGTATGTGAGATTATAGTGTTGGGTTGGTTCTTTCCCCCACACGCCAAACTCATTTTAAATTCCGAGAAAAGATTTAGTTGTGGTTGTTGAAATCTTGTGGTGATGTTTGTTGAAGTTGTAGTTGTGTTGTGATGAAGTTCTTGTTGGGTTGGTGTATGTTTCCGGTGGTGTTTTGAGTTGAATCTTTGGTTTGTTGAGGGTTTTAATGATTCTAAGTGTTTGGAGCTGGAACCTTTGAGGTTTAGAAGGTTTAGAGATGGAAAAAGGAAGGAAAAAAGTCGAGTTTTCGGGGAAAAGGGCTGGGGCGTCGTGCCTGCCAGCGCGCCCCAAGAGGGGCTCTGAACTTTCTCCCTTGGGGAAGCGCGCCTATCAGTGCGCCAGCAGGCCCCCTCTGAAGATTTTGGTCTGGCGCTCCGTGCCTCTCAGAGCGCCAAGAGCGCCAAGTTTTCCCATTCTTTCCCCACTTTTTCATACATGTTCCTAGGTATTGTACCTATGTTTTATAGTTGTTTCCAACACTCTAAGGTACATTTAAACCTCCCGAACTCATCCATGAACATGAGATTATTACCCTTGAATTCATAATCCAATTCGAGGAAAGTTTGGCTCAAAGTCAAGTGAAGTTAGAGTCAATCTTAGAAGTTAAGAAGTAAGTCCAAGCAAGTCTTTAAAGTGTTCAATAGTCTTTATTGAATGTTTTAACTTCATTTTAAGGCTCAAGTTTTAAGTCAAGTAAAGAGTAAAGAGTTTCAAGTTAAGTCTAGAATATAAAGTTGAATTCATTTTTCAAAAGTTATTAGGGAGTCTATGTATTCCCAAAGAAGTTTTAAAGAAATGTTTTTACATTTAAATAAGATTGGAAACTGAGATTTCCAAAGAGCCTTCGGGCTAGTTTTCCAGAAAAGAGTTATCGCTTTCTAAATGAAGCAAGAGAGGAAACTGAGATTTCCAAGATAGCCTTTGAGCTAAGTTTTGAGTAATTATCTCAAATCAGTAGGAAGGAAATGTTTTTTTAAAAACATAGAGCCAGTACATTTTCGCACCCTCACCCACCTCGTTCTCCTCTCCGTTGACTAGCCGCACCTCTCTCCCCCTCCACTGCGTATCAGTGGTGTCCGGCGAGCACCACCAGCGCCGCTCTCTTTCTCCGTCGGTAAATTGGTGGACTCAAGAAGGTGCCAAGATCATCTAAATAGATGAAAATAGATTGTGAAAAGAAAGAAAAAGGGGTTGGGCAGGGAAGGATATGGCTGAAAAGGAGGAGTAACAGGTGAAAAAGACAATATTTTTAATTAGTTGTTTTGAAAAAAATATTTCTTTTATAATTTTTAATATTTTTTAAGTAGAAATGCTCCTCACTCGCCTTAATAGGCGTGTGTAGTTACACACTTTTGCCAACTCAGACATCTAATGACACATAAGCCTAGTCAATGGTTAGAGGGGTTTGTTAAATTGTGTTTTATTGAGTTTAAGGGTCCAGATGACAAAGGGTTAAGTAAAAGGGTTCATAATACAAACTGATACAAGTATAAGGATCCACCAGACCCCATGCATATATATATATATATATATATATATATTATATTAAAAGTGGAAAGCTCCAAACTTCAATGTTGAACTACCATTTTGCCTCTACATCATGTTAAAATATAATAAAAATAGTATCATATCACTAATATGATACAATAAATTTATTTCATAGTGATAGTTCATGATAAACATATTTATTTAATACCTAAAAATGTTATAAACCTGACAAAACTAAATAGAAAAAGAAAACAAATAAGCAATTACTCCTTGAAAACAAGAAATTAAATAGATACATGTATCTTACAAAGTTATTGTTCATGAATTATCCTTTTTATATTTATATTAATATTATTTGACCTTTCAAATTTCTATGTGACTTTTCATATTCAACAATTTTTGTCCTATAAATTTAACTTTTCCAGAAAAGATTTTTATGTGCTACTCCTACAATTCTTATGTGTAGGAGCTCTAAAGCGGTGAAATAATGTCGTAATTTGTGGGAAAAGTTGTGTGATCTCCCTTATGCAGTCATGAGGATAGATAAGAATTCAATTACTGAAACACCATTTTTATCTCTATTTATATAGTTGAATTGTTACTTTGTTTATAACTTGTTTTTAGTTTAGGATTTTTTGTGTTCAAAAACAGATTGATCGTTACGTTAGATTTTGTTTAAATTTTCATTATCAAGACAAGATCAAAAAAGAATAATTAATTGTCTTGCTCATGTGTTTCTTTTTTGTTCTTTGTATTTATAATATCACCTTTAAGAATGAATTTGATAGAATGGTTACTCTTTCTTTTTATTATTTAAAGATGAAACATATAGAATTAGATTAATGATAGGTTCGATTAACATCATCTTTGGGTTTCACTGAGATGATTGCATTCTGGTAACGGTCTTGAGCTTCTCCAGAAGCTATCAGTGCCATCATTTCCCCTCCATTATTCAATTTTTCCATTGATGATGGTGGAAAATAACTAAGTGAAGAATCGGCTTTTATTCTGTCATCTTTTGAAGAATATCTTGATTTGTATCCTCTAAATTGAAATTTGCTAACTACTAACTAAAGATTTACATACAAATTTTGAATCCTCTATGTCATAATTCCTTCTGACTATTTTAAGAATCCTGCATTTGAAGCCCACTCGACCAATAGATTAGTGGCACCAGATATGCCCAATAAGGGTAAAATGCTCCCCATTGAGAGGGTTCTTCATTCATAAGGGTTTAAATTCGAAACATCTGGTAAAGGGTTGGAGAAATTTCAACCATCCCACTAGATAGTGATGCCATAGTGAGACAGTAGAAACCTCATTTAGCCACAATTTTTAAAAAAGAAGTCAAATCACATTATATAATAAAATTTAACTTTTTAACAAATAATATACTTATTAATACGGGTTACACGCGCAAAGCGCATACCCAGAAACTAGTATATTAAAAGTGAGAAACTCCTATCTTAAAAGCTGGATTACAATTTTTCCCCTATAGTAAATTAAAATATAATAAAATATCTAATTAAATATTAAATAATAATATTTTAATTACCTTTAAAAAAAAAAAAATTGTATTATCATGGTAATTTCAAGAAAAATTTAAATAAGCAATTGAAAACAATAATTCACTATTAATTCCATTAAAGACTCTAGAACCAAGGTTCAATGCATTACCATGGCAAATGAGAAGGGAAACATAAATAAGCAATTTATAACAAAAACCTTTTCAAATTTCAGTCTTTATATTTGTTCCTTTCAACTTCCATATTAATAATATATTTACAAAGCCTTTTGAAGTTCTTTCTGCACTTTTTATGAGCAAATAACAAGGTATCAAAATTAAATCAGCTCATCATTTTGTACCAATCATTTTTTTGCTTTGTGAAAAAATTTATACTTTTTTTTTCTAGAAAACTTGTTGCTCTTATAATGCTGTGTGTTTGCGGTGACGCTCACGTACACACAACAAACATGTAAGTATTTTTCTTTATTACTTTATCAACTAAAAATGATTAAATCTTATTTAAGATCAAAGAGATTGAATGAATTAGCTATATTATCAATTGAAAAGGAATTACTAATAAAAATCGATTATAAAACAGTAACTAATGACTTCACATCTATAAAAAGTTAGAAAAATAGATTTTAAATAAGAGTATATATGATGAAGAAAAAAAATTAGGGCCCCCTCTTAAAGTTTTGTTTTAGGCCTTCAATCTTGTTGAGTCAACTCTGCCTTTGATATGACATCAAAGGTTGCTGGTCAAGTTATGGTGGTTTTGTGAAAATATTAGGTTAGCGCCTGATGGGATTTGGAGAGTCGTCATAGGAAATGAAAGAGAAAACAGAGGAACTACTCTTTATACAAAAGCGAAGATTTTATTCACTTGACAGAAGCAGAGCGCACTCTGCATTCGTCCAGTGAAACTACAATGTGGAAATGCCCTGATTTTTTCAAAATCTTCCTTAGAAAATTTGGTATTCAAAACAAATGGTGTAGGAATTGTTTGCAACTTGCATTCTGAATTGTTTCAGCATCTCCGGGACATACTTTTGCTGATTGATATGCTTCCATGCATCCCAAAAAAGACTCCATCCAAAGCAATTCTTGCTCGTCATTGTCCGTAACAAGCAAATCGTCAATATATAAAGAAACTTCTGACAGATATTGTAAAACAGGGAGATCAAATTTAAGTTTGAGTTTAAATTATATGCACGTACGACGGTGTAAAAACAATTGAATTATTAGGATCTGGTCTTTCATTCACCTCCAAAACTCAACTAGTCCAACTAAGAATTCCATTTATTGAATACTTGAATATATCAATCTGAAGAAACTAATGAATCAAAAATATGAAGTAGAGGTCGCAAACAGAAACAGAAAGTAAAATAGTGCAGCTAAACACTCCGTAATATTTCTTAATTTTATTCAACCATATTAAAAACTATACTCAAATCTGAAATCAAAAATAAGGGAAATGCAACACTCTGAATTACAATCGACTAAAGAAACCAGGCAAACAAAAAGCAACATGTGAACTTGCAGAACAGGAAGAGATGCTGACTTCTATGTTTCCAGAAATGTGTTGTTGATTTTGTTAAGCCTCGTGACTACATCTTTCATGGTTATTCTTGATTCTGGCATTTCCTTTGTGCAGTCTAAACCCAATTCTATCATGGACGCTATGCAGATTTCACTTTCTGAAGTGATCTGTTCTTCCTCGGAGAAAAGATTGGCATCCACAACGTCCATCATACTCCCTGAAAATGATTGTGTGATCCATTTCCTCAAGTCAAGATTTTCATTGCATATCTCTTCATCTGTTGGCCTTCTTTTCGTCAAAACCTCCATCAACATGATGCCGTAACTATAAACATCGCCACTAGCAGACACTATTCCATCCGAGCCATATTCTTAAAAAGGATTGAAAAAAGTTAATTCAATTGAAATACAACAATAATTCTGCATAAATAAAAGCTTGTTTTTATAGTTGTAGAATTTGGAGAGGCTTTATTATGATAAAAGAAAATCAAAGTGAGTAGATTTTTTATACCTGGTGCAATGTATCCAAGAGTACCCAATGTCTCTGTATAAGCCATGGACTTGCTTATGGCTAAAATTTTAGAGATACCAAAATCACCAACATGAGCCACCATATCTTCATCCAAAAGAACGTTGGCTGGCTTTAAGTCGCAATGAACTATTGGAGTTACATGACCATGATGTAGATATTCAACTGCCATAGCTGTATCAAGCATTACAGTAACTCTTTGATGAAGGTTCAAGTGGCGATCTTCTTTGTACAACCAATTCTCAAGACTTCCATTGGGCATAAATTTCAGAACAAAGGCTCTTATATAGTCACTAGAACAAGTAGTAATCACTGGAACAAGATTTCTGTGTCTAACATTTCTCATGACTTCACATTCGGTATCAAACCTCTTGCATACTTGCTCATTTTCCAAATCCAGAACCTTAATGGCCACTGCAGTTCCACTAGATAATGTGCCTTTGAACACAGTGCTAGAACTTCCCACACCAATTAAATTGAATTCATCAAAATTATTGGTTGCTTGTTGAATGTCGTAATAAGAAACTAATTGATGAGTCCTGATCTCTAGTACCTTTTCAACATCTTTGCACTTTTCTTTCTTCTGTCGTTTCATTATCCAAATTGAAACCAACAAGAATATCAGCAAGGATGAAATAACCACAGGAGTAACAATTTTTAGTAGAACCTCCTTAAGCTTTGATTGTTTTCCAGGATTAGTGATAGCACAAGCAGGAATCTCCAATATGTGCATTCCGCAAAGACCTTTGTTCCCCAGAAATGATTGCACAGTGGAATGTGCAAACACACCACCACTTGGTATTACACCTTCTAAATCATTAAATGAAACATTAATGCTTTTAAGGTATGAGAGTTTTTCCAAAGACATAGGAATACTACCTGACAATGCATTTAAAGACAAATTCAAGAATTCCAAGCTTATCAAGTTGGCAAGGGATAATGGAATTTGGCCAAAGAATGAATTGTTTGATAGGTCAAGAGACTGCAGGTTTTGGAGTGCCCCGAATGTGCTTGGTATCATGCCTGAAAAGTGGTTACCAGAAAGATGTATTTCTACAATGGCTTTCAGTTCTCCAATATCTAATGGAATTTTTCCCTCTATAGAATTTTGTGACACACTTAGATAGAGAAGACCACTCATTTTCCAAAGGTTCCCTGGAATTTTTGATAATTTATTGGAACTCAAAAAAAGCTTTTGTAGCATGCTAAGATTACCTAAGCATTCTGGAATTAGTCCAGAGAGCTCATTATTATCTAGATAAGAATGAACCAAATTAGATAAATGGCATACTGCCTCTGGAATATGTCCCTGCAATTTATTGTTATCTAGATACAACCCTTGGAGTTGTTTAAGCTTACCAATCTCAGAAGGAATATTCCCTGTCAAGTTGTTTCCGCCAAGGCTTAAGGATGTAAGACCGGTCATGTTGCCTATACTTGTGGGGATGATTCCATTGATGTGTGCATCTCCTATTTCAAATTTTTGAATAGTAGATGAAAGACTGCCAATAGAATTGGGCAGAATGCCATACAACAGATTGGAACCTACTTGTAGATATTTCAACATCCTACAGTCCGCCAAAGAATTGAAAAATCGCAACTCATACTCTCTTGGTTCATTGGTAAGTTGATTAGTATGTAGGAACAGTTCTTGCAGCTCACGAAGATTTCCTAAATTAGTAGGAATAGTTCCTGTGAGAAAGTTATCAATTAGCGATAGTATCTGAAGCTTGGAAGAATTTGTTATGAACAATGGAATTTCCCCTTCCAGCTGATTGACTCCCAACTCAAGTACTTTAAGGTTAGGAAGATGAAGACCTGTAGTGGTTGGAATTCTACCCGAGAGGTTATTGTTACTGAAATCAATCATTTCCAAAGAAGATATGTTGAAAATAGCCTCTGGAATTTGACCAATAAAATTATAATTCTCTGAAAAGCTTAATTTCCTCAAATTTGATAGCTTCCCTAATTCCGGAGGAATTTGCCCCTCCATGTGATTGCTTCCGCAATGAAGATATTGCAGTGTGGAAATATTTCCCAATGAAGTGGGAATAGTCCCTTATGTTGGATTATGGCCAATAAAACACATCTCGAGTTTGGATAAACAACCAATATTTCTGGGTATCTGTCCAGTTATGTTGTTGTAAGATATGGACAAAACTTTGAGCTCTGTGAGTTGGCAGATGTTGGAAGGAATGCAACCAGAAATTTGGTTCTCATATATACTTAAAAATTTGAGATTTGAGACAATATTTCCTTCATAAAGCAAGAGAGGACCGGAAAGGCTATTGATTCCAAGAGATAGGACAAGAAGTGACGAAATATTAAACAATGTTGCGGGAATGAAACCTGTTAATTGATTGTTGTACAAATACAACTCTGTAAGTTGGCTAAGATAACCGATCTCAGTTGGAATGTTACCATTGATTCTATTTCCAGACATATCAAAGTTCATCAATTTTGTGGCATTCCTAACCGAAGGAGGGATTATACCTGTGAGGCTATTGTAACCAAAATTTAAGACTCTGAGTTCAGGTACATACCATGGCCCTTTCCTCATTTCACCACCGAGTTCATTGAAAGCCAATGAAATTACTTGAACTCTCCGGTGTTGAAATAGACTTGTTGGTATACTTCCATTGAGCTGATTGTTTTGAATATCAATCACTCGCAAGCGAGGCAAGTGGCCAAGTCCATAAGGGATGCCACCACGGAAGTTGTTGTTCTGGAGATTGAGAACACTGAGGAAGGACAGATTGGCCAAAGACGGGGAAATTATGCCTTGAAGTTGCAAATTAGGAAGAGCCAAGGCCACAACCCTTTGCGTTTTTGGAGTGCAAGTGACACCAAACCAAGAGCAAAAGGAAGTAGTCTTGGTCCAATTATTTGCCAAAAAATGACTGGGACTGTTAACAAGATTTTGGAAAGCTAGTAGAGCTTGTTGGTCAGTCTCATTTGAGGAAGAAAGTGATATAGAAAATTGAATTAGAAAGAGAAGAATGAAGAAGAGAATGTTCTTCTTCATGCTGTTACTATGAATTACTTGAACTAGAAAATTGACAGAGCAATTGGTCTTCACTGCATATGTATCCTCACATCAAACATACAAATCATTAACTTATTTCGTATGGAATGGTCCATAAAATGAAAAAAATTCGATTACATAATAAATGTTGAATGTATTCTATTTATAGGGATGGCAATGGGGTGGGTTAAGCTTCAAACCCACAAAAATTCAACCTGTACTACTTAGTAAAATTTTTTGCTTTCAACCCGCCCCACCCGCCCTGTACAGAAAAAAATACTCCCTCTGTCCCAATAATATGTGATATTTTTCATTTTTCGAGAGTCAAACAGTTTAATTTTGACTGCGAATTTGCGCATGGAATCTTCAATTCATTTTGAAATTAAATTTATACATTTGTAAACTACGTAAAAAGTATTATAAGTCACGATAATTGATAATTCAAAATGTTTAAAAGATCTATGAAAAATTACGGTCAAAGACACTTGTTTGAACCTCGAAATCCAAAAAGTGTCTTATAAAATGGGACGGAGAGAACATTATTCAGCATAAATTTATACATTATTATATCATTAAAGTTAGGATGAAATCATGCATTAATATTCTACAAAGATTAAAGCTTAATTATAAAAAACTTGACTAATAAATCTCTAAACCCATACCATTTATTATTTAGTTAAGTCGCATCAAATTGTGAATCAAAAAATCTTTTATTTTTATGCTTTATTTTGAACCATCTCAAAACAATTTTGCATTGTTATTTAATTTATAAATAATATTTTCATAAGAATACAATTTAATTCTGGTAATCATTGGTCATTTTGAAACAGGAACTTTTAGATTTTAAATTTGAGATAGTCGGTTGTAATTTTCTTATCTAATCTATAAAAAAAATGGAATAGAAATATTTAAGGGGAGATCTTATTTTTTTGGTATAAATAAAAAGGAAAGTTTTATTTAATATGTTTAATATTCTTATAATTTGCATGTTAACTGTGTAAAGTTTAGCCTTCAATTGTAGGCTAATAATATAATGCGATTCACTATTGAAATTAATTCACTACTTCACCCCTCATTTAAGGTTTTTGATTTATGAGGAAATTGATGAAGACCAAAGGTTACAATAATTAAGTAGCCTCTTTTATTTTTGGCTGATTTTTTTTTTTGTAATTTGATCCATCTTATCTCCATTACCTAAGATCTTTCTATTTAAAGTCACCTAGAGAGGGAGCTAAATTTGCAAATCTAATATGAGTTTCTTACTAAAGTATGATAATTTTCTCTTATAAATTAAGAACCATTTTCTCATATTTTTATATCATTTCTTACGTCTTTTTTGGTTTCCGTTTTCGTCTTAGTCAATAGACCGTAAAGGAAAAGTTGTCATCGATCTTTGTAGAATTGTTAAGGGCAATCGCATTATTGTTGCATTTGGATAAAAAATGTTATGATTGATTGATAGTAAAAGAATATTTGGAAGAAAATAATATTTTTTTATCATTTATGAACTACAACAAAATAACTAAATTTTCGTACTATTCTATGTAAAGTGATTATAGTGATGATCATTTGTAAGTGATTTTTGTAGTATATTTGTTTTGAATGTTCTTTTATAATGTATTTTTTCTTTATCCTTTTTTTAGTTAAATATGTTTTTGGCTTATATAAAGAAATTTGTGTAGAGATTACAATTATATAGATATTACTTATTTAGACTTTATATAATTATTGGCATGGAACAAAATATTATATTTCTTATTTTCAAATGAAATTAAAAATTAACTTAGTGAAAGATTAAATATTTTATGATCTGCAGATCATTGTATTTTACATGGATAGTATGAATACAAATTTGTTGAATGACTATACATGCATTAATAATTAGTTCATTATATTAATAATAAGGAGACCTAAAAGTATAAAGTTGTTAGATCAAAATATTCATATAAAATTAAACAACTATTTTATTTTTCAAACAAACACTCTTACTCTATAGTATATGTGTAACACTATTATGTAAAAATTCTTCCTATATCCAGTGTCAGTTATACTTTTTAGTGCAACACTAAATTCTATAAACAATTAATATTTTACGATCTAATTTTCTTAGACATAAAGAGATTATTATTGTTATTGTTATTGTTATTATTGTTATTGTTATCTTAATTTCTTTCTATTAAATTTCTGCAAAAGAAAATTAATTCAATACCTTGAGTTGTTTTAGGCAAAGTGAAACATTATAATAAGATGTCTAAGGACTTATGTAGGGCACATGTGTCATTTACTATAAATTTATAAAAATTGTACACTTAGCTACACACACATACCCAGAAAGTAGTTTATAATCTGCGGTTGTTCATCGTTATTATTATAGTAAATCTTCCCCTAGAAACTTGTTTGTGCATTTCGATTACATAACAGTGAATCTGAAATCATACCTAATATATTTTTCCATTCACTATAATTAATAACTGTTGTGAACATATAATAATCTTGAGCAATTTTTATGTGTAATATATATGTAACTGAAATTAGATAAAGTGATCATAGCATTCTTAAGAGTGAATAGGTTAATAAACCACTAAACTATTTTTGTCTTCGCAAGTTTCATACATAAACTATAAAATTCATATTAAATGAAATATTTAAAGTCAAATCTTTTTATATATATGGTTGTGATTTCCACAAACTTTTATGTGATGTATATATTACAAGTTATTGAAATGACATCACATTGAGGAATACATTGGCCAACTTTATAAAGACAAAACCACAAGAAGACAGGTGTATTATGCGTAAACTGAGGGGTAAGGGAATCGATTGAGAAAAGTCAGTCAACTTGTATTATTGAAATCACAATTTTTTTAATTAAAAAAGTTGCATTATTTATATGGTCCAGAACCAAGTCAACGAGAGGTCATGAAGTCTAAGACAAGTTTGGAAAAAAGTGTATGTATGTTGCTTGACCTTTCAATATAGACGGATTCCTGATTTAAAGTTGATAATTTTTTATGATGATTTTAAAAGAATATATCTATATAATAATAACTAGATTCATAGTTTTTTCTTTATTATTATTTTAAAAAAATTGGATTCATAGTAAGATATTTATAAATATTTTGTGAATTTCTCAATTATAAATATATAATTTGAGAGATATGTTTTGATAAATAATTGGTGATAGTTCAAGTAGGAAACTAAAAAACCTTTCATGCATAAAACTCGCCAAAAAATGATACTTCAAATGTGTTTTTTATCATTATATCTTGTCTTTTTTGCTAAACATGTTTTAGCTTGAAACACAATCATAATAACCAATGGGCGATGAGCCTATACTCATACTAAGCTTAGTAAAGTTATAACAGAGATGTTTATTGTTCGCTTATATAAATGTGACACTGTTTATAAAAAATCAACGTGTTATTCAACCTATAAATGAATGATCATATATCTGTAGCATATATACATGGATTGGAAAAAAAACATCTAAAACATATTTTCAACCTATAACTATGATATCAGGGTGCTATTTCAATGAGATTGTTAGATTTTTTTTTTTCTCAATTAAACTCATGAATATAGCAGAAGCCTCACACTTACCTGAATATAGCAGCTGCAAAATGAATGTCGTCGCGACTTTTGCATAAATCTTGAAGGTAAACTAGCATCATTAAATCAAGTCCTGAAGTCGTCAAGTACAAGAGACTTCCAATTAGGGGGTGTCAAATGGGCGGGTTGAGTTGAAATTGGAGATATAATAAGGGCAAATTACAGAAATCACATACTTTTAAGGCAAAATTACAATTTATCCCTTAAAAGTTTATAATTACAGAAATCCCTCAAACGGATACAATAATATAAGCGTTGATACATTAATCTGATGCGCGAGATACAATAATATAAGCGCTGATACATTAATCTGATGCGCGAGATACAATAATATAAGCGCTGATACATTAATCTGATGCGCGAGATACAATAATATAAGCGCTGATACATTAATCTGATGCGCGAGATACAATAATATAAGCGCTGATACATTAATCTGATGCGCGAGATACAATAATATAAGCGCTGATACATTAATCTGATGCGCGAGATACAATAATATAAGCGCTGATACATTAATCTGATGCGCGAGATACAATAATATAAGCGCTGATACATTAATCTGATGCGCGAGATACAATAATATAAGCGTTGATACATTAATCTGATGTGCGAGATACAATAATATAAGCGCTGATACACTAATCTAATGTGCGAAAATGAGGGATTTTGGAGATTTGTAAAACTTATAGGGGATAATGGTAATAAGTAAACTAAAAGGTGGGATTTCTGTAATTTTTCCATATAATATAAAAATGGGTTGAAATAGAAATTGGGTTGGGTCTTGACCCACCCAATTTTACTTTGGGCTCAAATGGGTTGGGTTCAAATGGGCTAAAAAACGGGTTGAGTCTTGACCCACCCAATTTGACCCGATTAATCTCAATAATTTTAACATAGTGATATTTAACTTTTATAATCACAATTTAAATTTCAGCTCAAGATTTTTATTTTTTAAAAAAAGTAACAAATGGATAGATAAATCCTAAAAAGTGTTAAATAGATAATAATTCATACCTTTAATATAGGAGCATATCTTAGTAAAGAGTTTTAAAACGGGTTGAAATTGGAGATTGAATTGGGCTCAATTGAGGATTCTCTTAAAATGGGTTAGGCTAGAATGGGTTGAGATTGAACTCAATTCAAATTATCTTGAGCCCAACCCTTAAAATTCTGGGCGGATTGGACGGGTTACCTATGTTTGGGTTCATTTTTGACACCCCTACTTCCAATCAAACTTCTATAATACGAAGCATCACACTATCCGACTCCATCCTCCTTGAAAAAAATAGTATTCAAAACAAATAGTGTAGGAATTGTTTTCCAATTTGCATTCTGAAATAAATTGTAAGAAAGTGAAACAGGTTCACATTTTCCGGCTCCATCACATTCTGGTTTATTCAAGCACTCAAAACATAGCTACAAATAAAGAAAGTGAACGAATGACTAAAGAAACCAGTACTCAAATCTCAAATCACAAAATGTCTCAAGTACAAACAGCACATGTCTACAGGTAGTACGAACGACTAAAGAAACCAGGAAAACAAAAAGTAACATGTTAACTTGCAGCTCAGAAAGAACACCACCGGAAGAGATCGATGCTAACTTCTATGATTCTTGAAATGTGTTGTTGATTTTGTTAAGCCTCTTCACTACTTCTTTCATGCTTATTCTAGATTCTGCCATTTCATTTGTGCAGTCTAAACCCAATTCTATCATGGAGGCTATGCACATTCACTTTTACAAGTGATTTGTTCTTCCTCACAAAAAAGATTGGCATCCACAACGTCCATCATACTCCCTGAAAATGATTGTGTTATCCATTTCCTCAAGTCAAGATTTTCATTGCATATCTCTTCATCTGTTGGCCTTCTTTTGGTCAAAACCTCCATCAACATGATGCCGTAGCTATAAACATCACCACAAGCAGACTATTCCCTCCGAGCCATATTCTTAAAAAAGGATTGAAGAAAAGTTACTCAATTGAAATACAACAATAATTTTGCATAAATGAAAACTTGCTTTTTTTTACTTGTAAAATATGGAGAGGCGTAATTATGATAAGAGAATCAAAGAGAGTAGATTTTTTATACCTGGTGCAATGTATCCAAGAGTGTCTCAGTATAAGCCATGGACTTGCTTATGGCTAAAATTTTAGAGATGCCAAAATCACCAACATGACCCACCATATCTTCATCCAAAAGAATGTTGGCTGGGTTTAGATCGCAATGAACTATTGGAGTGACATGACCATGATGTAGATATTCAATTGCCATAGCTGCATCAAGCATTACCGTGACTCTTTGATGAAGGTTCAAGTGGCAATCTTCTTTGTACAACCAATTCTCAAGACTTCCATTGGGCATAAATTGCAGAACAAAGTGTCACGTCCTGCCACTTCACAGTTCAAATTTGACACCGAAATAAAGGAGAAGAATCTAGAGTTGTGGGGAAGTTAGTAGAACACTCTAGAATTCCCTAGAGAATTTCCAAGAAGACTCTAGAATAATTTAGAAGCTTTCTTGGAAAGCTTTAGAATTTTCTAGAATTAGTAGAGAATTCTAGAACATGGACCAAAGTGTAAATAAGTAGGGACTTCTAAAGTAAATAATTATTTACTCTTAGGCCCCTAGGAAGTAGTATAAATAGAAGGACCTCTCATTTGTAAATCATCCAAACAACTTGTAAGCAATCTTCCAAGCCTAATACAAAGCCTTCTTCCAAACTTTCCAAATCTTTCTAAGACTTTATTTGCATTCTCTTAGCGGTCTAGCTTCAAAGGGCTTACTTGAGCTTACAAAATCGTGAAAGATTCGTGAGTAAGTTGTCAAATGCCGCACGAAATATTAGCGAAAACTCTAAGTCCGTGACAACGTGGTATCAGAGCAAAGGCTGGTACTAAGGGAATGGCTAACGAAGGAGACGTAAACGCCGCTAGCACCACCAACGTCCGTTCAGAGGGAGGAAAAAAGAGTCACAAGGGAAAGAAGCACCAAAAGAGTAATGAGAAAATGTTGCTCGACCCCACACCAATCGAGGCGCTAACATCTCATCCACCTTCGACCACCGAAGCAAGTGATGATGAACTTGGCAAGGAGGCCATTGGCGTCCGCCGGAGAGGAGTGGATCACAAGGGTCGAAACGACGAGGCAGTCTGTGGAGATATTAGGCCGGCGTTTGAACGTGGCCGATGGCAAGTTTAAGACTCTCGAGGACTTCACCCTTGAGGAGACCGACAACATCTGTAAGGAGTTGAAGGGACGTTAGCGGGCCGAGTTTGAGATGAAGGAGGCTATCACTTTCTTGGAGTGTTGGCTCATGGAGGCGTTGAGCACGATTGAGACCATGAAGGCCGAGATGAAAGCACTCAAGGAGGGCATGGAAGTTGGAGGATCTTCGTCGTCCGACCGATACAAGGAGGCCAAGGTCGAGACTCCCAAGCCACCTATGTTTAAAGGCATCTGTGACGCGCAAGAGGTGCAGAATTTATTATGGCATTTAGAGAATTACTTCAAGTGCAACAGGGTGAAGAGTGATGAGAATAAGATCAACATTGCGGTGTTGTACCTCTCGGAGATGGCCATGTTGTGGTGGAGGCTTAAAGAGTCAGAAATAGGGAAGGGACTTTGCACCATCAACACTTGGGAGCAATTCCAAGTGGAGTTCAAGAAGGCTTTCTTCCTAACAACGTCATCTATGAGGCGAAGCGCAAGTTTAGGGAGCTGAAGCAGACGGGCAGCATACGTAAAGGAGTTCACCACCCTCACGCTTAAGATTCCCAACCTCACGGATGAAGATATGTTGTTCCACTTCATGGATGGGTTGCAAAATTGGGCCAGGACGAAGTTGGAACGCCGACAAGTCAGGACTATCGATGAAGCCATCACACAGGCCGAAGCTTTGACAGACTTCAGGCATGAAAAGCCCGACAGAGTCAGAGGGGAAGAGGTGAGAGGTAGTCATGACCATGGTGGGGGAGATCGTGGAAAAGTTGAGGAGCAGCAGCCACATCCCAAGAATCATGATACTTATAAGTCTGATGGCAAGATGTTTGGACAAATAGGCGGTGTTGAGAGGAAGACAGAGCCTACAAAGAGAAATGGTTGCTACATATGTGGTGGGCCGCATAGCTATGCAAGGTCCCCTGAACTAAAGAGCCTTGGTGTTATCCTGCGAGAGAGGAAAGAGAAGGATGCACATGAGCAAGGACAAGGCGCAGAGACGACGCAAGTTGGCTTGATAAGACTATGCAGAGCTATCACCAAGCAACCAGGGAAGCCAAAAGAATATGGCGCGTAGTATGTCGACATCACGATCAATGGAAGACCCGCTCATACTATGGTCGACACGGGTGCAGAGGCCAATATCATGACTGTAATGACCCTCTTGGTCATTTCTGTGTTTTGCCTTCTGTGTGTCATTTAGAGCGTTCCTATAGCGACCCCAAGTCATTTATGACTTCCTGGGACTGACAGTTCAGTCACCTGGTCGTTCGTTTGGTCTTGGTGCGAGTTTTTGTGTTTTGGAGCTTATGAACCTTGAACGATCATTTTCGATCAAAAGTTAGAAGATGACATCGGAATCCAATTCTGACGTATTCCATCAGCTCCGGAAGGTCATTTTAGGCTAGTAGCATGGTCTTCATGACTCCCGAGGTTTCAGTGTGAGTCGGTGCGATTAGGCGTTTTAACTTTAAGTTTAAGCTTAAGTTTGACTTTGGTCAACATTCTGAGTAAACGCGCTCGGATGAGAATTCCGTCAGAGTGGTTAGCTCCGGAATGTCAAGTTTGGTCTAGATTGACCCTTCTTTTGTGTCTGGAGGTTTTCAATATCTTTCCGAGCCTTTTTGTGGGTTTTGACTTAAAATGGCTTTTGGAAGTGGGACCCACTTTTTATCGAAATGACCTCTGATGGAAATTTTGACTACGCCGTTGAGTCTGGAATATCAAATTTGGTATGATTGCATATCTCGTTTGCATGTACGGGGTTCCGAACAAGTTCGGAGCACCCCGTCGGAGTTTTTAATTTTGGGAAAAAATTGCAGATTTTTCTGCAATAAAATGCAGAAAAACCAGCAACATTTTCCCAAAACTTAAACCCTCATAACTCTCTCATCTCTCAACCGATTTGGGCGATTCAAAAGGTAAAGTTGTGAGATTTTTCGAGGGCAACGTGTTGGTGAGCTCGGATAGTGGTTTGGAGTCCCCGTTTGAGGTAAGTTTCGTAAAATACCTGCTGCCATACACTTTTTGTGAGCTTGATTTTGGGAATTTTTGAGACTTGTTTTCTTAGCCTTTTTAGGTCCGATTTCAGTGATTTTTGAGGCTATCTTGAGTGGTTTTTTGAAGAGAACGTCGTGGTGTTGTCGCATTTTACTGTAGACCACTCGTTTCTGGTAAATACACTGATTCAACTGCTGTCCCATTTCTAGTTTTTGAGAAAATTTGGGTTTTGGTTGCATGTTGGTATTGTGTTGTTCCCGAGCCCCGAATTGTGTCCCATTTTGGGACATGAGCTGGGGGAACTGATTAGGACCTACTTTTGTGGTAATTTTGGAATTTTCAGCGCGGGTCCCACGATTCCCGTTTTGACTCCAAAATTGACCCGTCTCCGTTTGTTGTGATTTAGGTGTCTAAATGACCGTACTTACATTGTGATCCTATATTTGATAGAGTGACAACGTTGAAAGGTTGTTCGGGAAGAAAAAGCTCAGGCAAAGTGATTTGTAGCGCGCGCGGTCAGCCTTAAGGTAGGCTACGACTTCCTTTCTATTAGATTGAGCTTAATTTTGTAAAAACATGTCGATTTGAGTGAATTGGGAGTGGGTACCAGCTTCCTACTTTACTTTGATTAGATACCTTATGTTAGGATCGATTGGCCATA